ACCCTAACCCTGGGAATGTGAATTTTGGACTTCAATATTTGTTCAGAGCCATAGTTCAAATATAGAAGCACACACAGAGTTACTGCACTGGGTTAGCTTTTTCTTGTTGCTTTAATCATTGACATCTATCACAGTGGACAGATTTTTCTAGGCACTACCCTCTGGTTTTCAGCCATGTCATACACCTACAGTYACCAGCATCTCTAACCCCAGGGCAGGCACACTTCAGGCATGGCCAGGCAGGCAGCAACAGGGAACTGTGACTGACCAAAGGTACAGAAAGGGCAGGGAATCAGCAACACACTGTTTGGCTCCCTGACAGAATTCAGGGAATTCTGGGGAAATTCATTCTGGGGAAATTCATTCTGGGGAAAAATTTGTCAGAGCGGGTCACATTTGGGCTGGAAGGAGGTAGTGTAGATGGGATCAAGCTGCGACCGGGGAACTTGCCTTTGACTGCAAACTGAATATGCACCAAGAGCCCCTAGAGAACTAATTTAGAAGTGGTGAACTTGTGCCACCTGGTGGATTCCAGCTCGTCCCGATAAACACAGCGACCCCGTTAGAGCAGAGATCAACAAACAGCAGAGCTGCCTCAGCAAACGAGGAGCTGCCAAGTTCAGGAGTGTTTGTGTCTTGCAGGGGCAGCCGGCTGAGCGAGGAGGCGCGGAGCAAAGCGCGCAGGAAATGCAGCGCCGTGCGCAGCCTCAAGGAGCGCTGGCAGGAATGGGCTGAGCAGCACATCACAACGCAGAAACTGAACCCCTTCAGCGAGGAGTTTGACCACGAGCTGGCCATGGCCACGCGGCTGCACAAAGGAGACGAAGGCTACGGCCATCCCAAGGAAGGAACCAAAACCGCCGAGAGAGCCAAGAGAGCCGAGGAGCACATCCACCGGGAGATCAGGGACATGTGCTTCATCATCGAATCCATGGCGAGGCCACGGCCCGACGGCAAGATCCAAGTGACCTTTGGGGAACTCTTCGACAGATACGTTCGTATTTCAGATAAGGTTGTTGGGATTCTGATGAGAGCCAGGAAACACGGGCTGGTGGACTTTGAGGGAGAAATGTTATGGCAAGGAAGGGATGATAATGTCATAATTACATTATTAAAATAAATAGGCAGAAACCAGGACAACTTTTGGAAAACTTTTCTCCCCTTCTCCCCTGCCATTAGCATTTGCACATTTTGAATATAAGATTCCTGTTCACCACACAGAAAAGAGTGTTTTTTGAAATATATATTTTATACCTAGTGCATGATAACCCAAGCATCCAAATGGACTTCATTTTATACAGCAATTAAGTTAATTACTACATGAAAAATAATAGAACAATCTATGTGGAATATAAGCAGCTGATGATGAAAGCCCATAGCAATRTAAATAGCTACAAATTAATTCAAATTTCTACTTCTTAGATTAAGATATTCCCAACYTATTTAAATTGGAATATCAGGAATATGAAACATACCAGATCAGAATTTGAATGACAATATAAACTCAAACCAAGTTTTTGATCTGCAAAATGGTCTTGCACATGCATTCCCTAATTAATTTATTAAAATGCAAGTAAAAATATTTTAATACAGAATCAAGGATACCAATTTGTTTTCTTTACAAGCAGGATATGCAGCTACTACTACAGTATTACCTTGTGGCAACTGTTGACACAGCTTTCTCTTACATATTGCATAAAGAATTCTTCTTTTTATAAATGGCATTTTATATATTTATTGTATTTATATAACTGTTTTTTTAAGATAAGTTTCATATTTAAACTTATGGAGGTTGGAATGTAATGAATAAAAGTTTTTATTAGATAGCTACAAAAAAAATACCTTCTATGCAWCGTTGTGCAATGTATCATCTGAGTATCTATGCAGATACTGTTCTAACAAAAACAGGGAAAGATAACATGTAACATAACATGTGTACTTTTGTATACAGCAAAAAAGTGAGTAATGTAATCTTCCGTTGAAATGTACCTCTGGGAGAAAAGAGAGAAACAGTGTTCATAACTTTGAGGAAAAAGTTGTTCAATATTACACAGAAATACTGACCTACTGTTACAGCATTGCCCATTCCAATGTCACTGAAATAATGTATTTCAGTCCAGGTGATGCTGAAGAGCTCTAAATACTAATAAACATTACTTCTAGGACTAAAAATTGTATTATTCACAAATGTGAGACCGCTGTAARGTCTCTGCTGCTTACTGGATTAGAGAGATCACTGTTCCTCTACTACTGTAAAAATACCTGCCCTGGTAAAATGTGTGCGCTTCACATTAAAAGTATTTGTTTCAGAGCAGATGCCTGGGCAAGTAATTAAAAATAAGTGTTTTTTTTCCCCTTAAGATTCTTTCAAACTGAAAGAGCAATTATCTTCTTACAGAAGTAAAGTTGTATGAACATCCTGTCTCTCTGATAAAACAAATATTGCTGTTATGAGTACAGGTACTCCAGTGTGAAGCTCCAATGTACAAATAAATCAAATGCTTTATGACCTAGTGATACAAGAACTACCTACTATATCTATTCTAGGTCTATGTAAATCAATATTATTTTAGGCATAGTTATATTATGTGACTATAAGAAAGAAAAAATTGTTAGACTGAATCAATAGAGCTTACCTAATGTTTTCTTGAGMCCTCTTAGACTACTGCAGCTGATCTACAAAACTGATGTCGTAGTGTAATACTTACATATCAAAATATTTACCTGCTTATTCTTAACTTATACYAAATACCCAACTTTTTCCATTCTTCCAATCAAACTATTTTATTTCCAATTGGATGAGAAAACCACGCAAGATATAACTAATATTTTTTCTCATACTACCCTCCACTATTTACCTTTCAGTAGGCAGTATCATGCAAAGCCTTCTAATTTGTGAAAAGAATTCAACATTTTTGTGGAAGAGAAATATTAAATATTGATATAAGCTACAGTGTATGGAAGAATTTCACATAGGTTACATGCTCTATAACACTGTTTTACATAAAGTTGTGTGAGAAGTTGATCCGTGGAAACCAGAAAATAAATTTGAATTCATTAAAAACAACCAGAGTATTTCATGAATTACCCAGCCTAACTCTCCTACTACACTGGGTTAACTCCTGTGAAATGAGCAATCTCTGCCAAATTTAAATATTCTRAGCAGGAAGATGATAAAGGTCAAAACATGCTTGATTAAAGCAGTCTCTGCAAATTTTTACTTGAGATCTGCTTTCCTAGCTCTGACTTGCTTTGAAAATAAAACTCTTAACCTTTGAGACAGTGAGCAATTCTCAGTTACTCTCATGGTAAATAGTTCACATTGTTTTCATAAATACTGCATTCACCCCAAAATATTTTACTTGAAACAGAGCTCCTCCACTCTCCTGTGTGAGGCTAGCATTGCTTTTGCAAGGGTTGTGTATTACACATCCGTGGTAGTGAAAAATTTGATTTGTCTTCTGTAGGAACTTAATACACATTTTTCAAATTCTAACAGAATTATCAGGCTTTCGTAGAAACATGGAATTTGCATCAGAAGAAATAAGTTTGACTTTCATACTTTTGTATTTTTTCAAGTCTTACCACAGCTGCTGCAGGGGCCTGAAGCRAGTGGAAGGTACACTGGACATGCACCCCACCTAGCAGAAATCAGCTCCTTCCTCCACAACAATAATTCCTTCTTTAAAAATATTTCTGCACAGCCTAGACTCAGTGATACAGCTCATTTTAAAAAAGGGATGGCTACTGACATAAAATCCACTGTAGCGAAGAATGTAACATTCATGGGGATATGTCCAATCATCACTGATGACAGAACAAGTACTGGCAAGTCCTGGACCCCGCAGCCATTTCAGGTGCTGTGTACACAATGCACCACTCCAACATCTCAAAGGCACTSCTGACACCTCAGGGCACAAAGCAGTTTAGCATTCAAGAGCTTGTGTACTATTAGCACTGTAATTACCAAACAGAAAACAAACTATGATGCTTGTCAGATAAGCAGGGCAGCAGAAAGCAGAGCTGGCACTGGCACTTTTGCAGGACCACTTTGGTTTGCACACACAACACCGAGTGTACACCATTCCCTCAGCTGGACAATTCCTCTCTCTGCTTCAGAACCACAGAGTAGCTCTGTATCACTGCAGTAACATGTACTATTAAGSGGAGGAAGAGGAGAGGTTTGTTTCCTTAATCGAGCTCCAAACTGCAGTGAAAACAGCAAAATATTCTGATGACATCTTTTATGAAGGGAAAACATAAAAGTGAGATTCAGAACTTGAATTTTAAATGAAGAATACAGGATTATTATTTTTTATTTGAAGTTGAAAGAATAGTCAACATTTTTACTCATCTTCCAAGAGCAAATTTTATGCAGACATTCTAATTCCAGTAGGAAAAAAAAAAAAAACCTAATGAAATACAAACAGGAGAGCAGGAGGATGCAAGCACAAGCCGTATGTCAAATTACRACCTTTTTGCGGATCACACAATGGCAGTAACTAACACAGGACTTATCATCCTCTGGCTCTACTTTAAGAACTCCATRTTTGGATCCCAGGTACTCAGAAAAAAACATTGTGTTACTCAGTGAATCCATCCAAGTACTGTATGCTGAGACACAGTCTTCTGGCATTGAAATCATAATGGGTCTCATAAATCTTCACTATATGTCAAACCCCAACTGTTTACAATCACAGAAACCTTGTCAGGAAAGATGGAATGGAATTATGCTGCAGAAAGTGCATAATTAATTGAAGGAAGGAGGGACATCAAGTCAATGCCTTTGATCTCACCTATACAATTTTTAATGTGTGTCATATAGAAATCAACTACGTGTCTGGTAATAAAACTGACAATCTTCCATAAATAGACACACACTACTCTGCATAGATCCTTGACACAGGCAGTTGCCTCACTGAGTGCTGCCACAKTCACTTGTGCTTTAAATGTCCTACTATTTCTTGACTAATTGTATTTTACAATGATTGCTATTGTACTGCTTACTAAACACTATTCRTGATTTCCACTTTTTTGCTTCCTATTGGAAGTATTTCCCAAGACTGGTCCAATACTTGGAAATATTCAGCAACTGAAGATTTTTGTATGCTTTCATTTAATTCTTCCAAGTAAAATTCTTTACACCAGCCTTTAAAAATCTAAAATATGCTTTATTTGCAATATGAGCTAGGACAGATACACTAAGCAGTTGATTTAATTGTTTTAATTGTTTTGTCAGCAAGGATGATTTGAGATTTTTTTCCCCTCTCCCTCTTCAAAATACCTGAAGATAAWATATTTCATTCCCACAGCTTCCCAGTGGGCTTTAAAAAGCCCCAAAAATGCCAAAAGAGATCAGAAACACATCCTTTATATTCAATTATAAAATGAACAGCAAAACATAGCGTTTGTGCTTTTACATRAACTCCAACTTCTAAATAAACTCCAACTCAAGTTTATTTTTACATATATTTAGATTTATTTGCTATACATCACTGTGAGCTTATAGTACTTAAAATCCATTACAGGATTTCTTTTTTGTTGTAATAATCAGTTGTAACTCCACAAAGACAATAATACTGCTGTGGAAGACCAAAGGGGAGAAAAGCCATTTCAATTTATTTACAGTTCCTTATTTTGTAAACATTTACTCTACACATTGTACTAAGTTCTAATAAGGATAAAGAGATATACATAGAGACAGGAAACAAAGCCCTGTTTTTCTATTCATATTGAGCATTAGCATATTAGAGATGAAACATCTGCCCTTTCTCATTACCATAGCAGTAAGCTGTCTTCAAATAAGTTTTTTTTTTTAAACTTTCCAGAAATGTAAATATTTTGAAATAATATACAACTACATCTACGTAAGCCAACCCATTTGGCTTTTATTCCATTTCTAGAATAATTTAAAGTGCTATAAGCAACCCGTCAATCAACACTTTTCTATAATAACAAAACTACTTTAAACATTAATTTACAAGATAATATACAATGTTCGTCTGAAATAGCTGAAATTTCAGCACAAAGTCAGTCACTGTCACACTTAACAGCAATTTTTTTGTTCTTTTTTGTTATGTTTTTTTGCAGAACATAGAATAAAAGCTTTGAAACAAAACAGTTTTGTTGAGCTGTTATTGCCACAATGGCTTATCAATTTTTCTACAAAAGTGGACAAGAGCTACTGGAACTGTATTCTAGCCTGTCATTTATTTTTTGAGGTCACATGACAGTAAGTTTGCATATTCCACAAGTCTACTGAATTACAATATTGTCTACCTATGATACATGATGTCATTTTAATCAGAGCTGGTGCTAATTGTAAATTTACAACATAGACCCACTCAAAAACATCACAAGTATTTTTTCTTTGGACAGGAATAAGCTATATTCTTGGAGCTGATGTGCTACACGGCTACAACAGTATAACAGTAYATATCTGACACTTTATGTTGAAGAAAGATGCATCTGTTTCTGTACTTTTAATGCCCTACTATAGCTACAAATTKTTCACTGAGTTTTGCTTGCTTTAGCCTTTTAATTTTTTGGAACTATCATATTCTTACATTCTCTTGCTATTTCACAAGTCTTTGCCACATAGCTCAATATTGTTAGTATTTGTCCCAAACCTGCAGATCATTAACAGCATGTGCAAAACACTCTTTAAATACAACCAGCATGCAGCTACAACATGTATTAACTGACTTTTTTCTAAACATGAACAATAAACAAGACATGTGGCACTGTTGACTTTGGACATCTTCTAACTTCACCRCATGGGTACTGGGATGCGTTAAGAAGGAATGCTCAGCTTCTCATCCATTTGTGGCACCACTTGAATAAACCATCATTGGTCTGGACCAATCTCTGCAGTGCTGCTGCCAAATACCCACACGCAGCTT